AGAACATTCATGAATATGAATATTCAAGGTTACAATTCATGGATATTCATGAATGTTAAATGGCACCTTGAATATACATGAATATTGTATGAACCGAATAACCAAGAATTAACATGAATATTTATCTACAGAATATTCTTGAATGTGAAAAAGGATGTCCATGAGTATTGAATAACTGGAATACTGACTTAAGGATTAACCATTACTGTGAAATAAGATGTCCATGAATATTGAATGGTTGAATATTCTAGAATAACCATGAATGTGAAGTATCCATTAATATTTTAGAATAACCATGAATGTGAAATATCCTTGAATATTCTCGAATAACCATGAATGTGAAATATCCTTGAATATTTTAGAATAACCATATGCATGAATGTGAAATATCCTTGAATATTCTAGAATAACCATAAATGCGAAATAGATGTTATTGAATATTGAATGTAGAAATAAATTTAGAATACCATGAATACGAATATGAGGGGCAGAAGGTCTTTCTCGGGCTTTTATTTTTGCAGGAATTCAGGATTTGACCTTTATAATGCAGTTCTAAATATATTTTGCTATTTTTGCATTCTTGATATAAAATATTAAATGACATTTTAAGAAAATCACTTTATGCCCCTGGTGACGGTGACGGTGTCTGACCCTTGCGAAAATGGATATCTCAGGATAATCTTGGGAAAAATCCCAGGGCAACTACAGATAATCCTTATCCTGAGATAGGGTTAAACATGGGACGGTATTGGAACAAGGATATTCCAGGGATATCCAGAGACCATCCAGACCATAAATATCATAGTAAAGAATCTTGTGATAATCCTGTGCTCAGGATTCATCAGGTCCTGGTCTCAGGAAATTATCCTGATGTCAGGATTTACAGATTTTCTTGCATTAAGTTGGCCCTGGGATAATCGTGTGAATATCCTGAGAATGTCCTTAGTTCAGGACCAATGTCTTGCATGTATTCTATAAAGAATTAAAAAAATTGAGTAAAATCTATTTTTAATACACAAATTTGTTCTTTTGCAAATATTTTCTTTTATTAGTTTAAATCCATATTCCTCATTATAAGGTAGACGATTGCCTTTGTTGTATCAAATCTGTCACGTATATATAAACATTGCAGTATGATTTACATCAGTCAAAGATATAACTCTATAGGGTTATTACAGAAAATAACTTGCGTGTGTTATTACAGATACTTTCATGAGTTGTCTACTCTTTATTCCTTAAATTTTCTAAATCTGTAATAACATATGTTTGTTATTTGTAAAATTATTTATTTTATAGTGGGCTCTAGGGAACTCTAGAGACTTTGCGCAGAAACTAAATGCATAGCCTTGATAACTAATTTTTTAATTAAATTAATTCATTTTTGATTAACCATGGTAAATCAATGAGACGAGGCTATTAAGGGATAAACTTAGCTGTGATAACAAGGCTAGGTTATTAAAGGAATGTAACTTATTATATAAGACACTTGGGAATTACTGAGAAACTTGCGCAGAACCTCATTACATGCTCTGGTCATTATTTCTTACAATAAATTAAAATACATTGTAATTAAGCATGATGTATGTCTGAGCAAATGCTTTGAAGTGATATAGAGAAGCTGTGATAACACCCTTTAGTTATTACAGGCGTATTTTTTCTGTAATAACATATAGGTGTACTATGCAAAATTGGCAAACTATGAACTGTTATATCTTTCAATAGTTAAGTATATATATAGACAAAAGTAATATCAATAGAACTTTTATACATTTTAACTAAACTAATGATGTATATTGTCCCTTTGAAACATGTAACATACATATGTTATCACAGTTCTTTGATTTTTTAGTCCACAATAACAAATGTATGTTATTTTTCTGTAATAACCCTATAGAGTTATATCCCTGACTGTACATTGACTAATTAATTTATTACAGCAAGATGTATTGTAATAAATAATGAGTATTTGTATTGGCCATGTTTATATAATATCTTATTCCAATGGCTGTCAAGTTCCCATTTAAAAAAAAAATTACTTGACGTATTTAATGTCAGATCCTTAAACTTCCATCAAAATTAGATACTAGTACTACTAGCAAACTTGTTTGCCATTTTTAACGGCTGCTTATATTGTTAAATTACCCATTAAAATGGTACCCCTCCACACCCCCTCCTGCCATATTGTATTTAGATATGCATTGTTCACCATGGCTTAATGATGCTCGCTGTTCAGTTTATAATATTAAAATTGTGTGTCAGATATAAAGGATACATGTGAAGTTCTCCTCCTTTCTGTAATTACATTTGCTGTCTCTGTACTTCCAACTAGTATTGCTAAGTAAAGGTAACTGGAATCTGCATGCATGCAATCCGTTTACTTTCAAAATTGGCAGCTCCATTTAATCATTTAATCCCCTAAAAGTATCGAAAAATACACAAAGAATCAATTGTTCTAGACGTTTTGAAGCAATAAATTCAATAGAAATATTATTGCATGATTATACAGTATACATTGGAAGCCATTTGGAATCAAATTAAATACCCTCCCCCTTTTTTATCCCCTGAAGATAAAAAAAACTAGCGACTTATTATTTTCACCAAATAACCATTCACAAAATTCAATTAATTATTTACATATCTACCAGTGATGCCTGTTATGTGACAACAAGATTATTCAATTGTTAAAAATAAATATATTTTCAGTTTATGCTTTCAGACTTTCTGATGTTGATTTGCTCAAATAAAAACCATAAAAAAATCATAGTTCCTCAATAAATTATATTTTATAATCTCATTATATACACATGTTAAATTAAATTTTTAATACACTTATCTGAAAACGTCTTCATGGGATTTTCTATGTTGATTTGTTCTGCAACAGCGTAATCACATTTTCATGACGTTTTTATCGAGTACGCTAACGTCGAGGTGACAATAAAAGTATTTATTACGGGCCAGTTTTTAAAAATAAGAAAAAACAACTTTAATTTAATCGGCACAGGGTGCATAAGGATGAACTAGTGGCTGCATTATCTAGGACGGTATTTTCTAGGGTCGGACTGTTCAGTACAATTACAAAAAAAAACACGTGGTCATGACTTGTTTACATTTTACATAAGTTGAGAAACCAAGGTTTTACGATGTCGATCATTGGCCTATCATTGATCTGATAATGTTTCTAAGTTATTTAAATGCCGGACAACAGGCAGAAAATCAGAAACGATCCAGCTTGTCTGGCAAAACAGCCGTTGGTGTTTCTCGGGCGCCCTGTTGTTTTTATCGCGAAAATCTGTGCATTTTTCTGACTTTGAAATACTGACAAACTGAAATTCGTAATTCTTCCATGAAAAGGAAGTTCAGCTAGCTGTGTAAACTGTCAAATTAAGTGACCCATTAAGTGCAGGGCTTCACCTGACAGCTTTGGTGTCAAACACATTGTTAATTAACACCAATAACCTTTGCTTTATTTCATAAATAATTTGTGTATTTCAAAAATGTTTCAGTTACCTCCCGTTTTTTATCACCTTTTTCACAATATATTCCTTAAATTTATTGGGTTTTTTTCTAAAAAAAAAAATAAAACAAATTGAATGCAAATGCATATCAGAATATTACTTTTAATTATTTTTAACCTGAAAGCACTTAAAATATAAATGTTTTGAAAATTATTTTTTTCATCTTTACTTCCATTAATTGATCTAGCAAGTGCATTAAAATAATAATTCAAATTTTTCTTTAACAGAGGACATCTGTCATTTTTAGAAAGCAGCAGGTGGGGGAGAGGCATTATAAAAAGGGCATCCAATTTTACAAAGCAGCGGCTCTTTTCACAAAAAATCTTAAGAGTAAAAATACTTGTAAGTCATACACATTTCAGTATAACTTACGATCAATTTTAATCGTAAGATTTTTTGTGAAAGTAAGAATTTTTGTGAAAACAGTCGCAGCAGTTTAAGGGTAGGGTCATTGAAAAAATCAAACATAAGGGCTTGATGTCACATGAAATATTCATGATTTTTTCATCCAATTATTGAACATAATTTCCTCAGCCAAAAAAAAAAAAAGTCAAAATAAACAAAATCCTAGAACAAATTACATTTTTCATTGGTAATATAATGCAGTTGGTCACACATAATTCTGAGTCATTATCATGCAGCTTTATTCATGCTTATTCATGTTTGTCACACAATCGAGAAATATTTTAAGTCCAAATTTCATTCATCATTATTCATCCTTATTCATGTTATATGTATGAGAAAAATTCTAAGTCCATACATTCAAGTTTATTCATGTTTATTCATGTCCCAAAAAAAGGTTTCTTTTGTCCCCAAATTAGTTTTAGAAAGAAAAAAACTTCATTATAGTAAGCTTTAGGCATTTTAACAATTCTTTTTGGTTGTCTTCATACAGTTATTAAGAATTCATGTATATTCCAGTTTATTCATGCTTCTTATTCATGAATAATTTTGACACTGGAATAGAACCCATGAATAAAACTGGAATATTCATGAATATCCATGAATATTCTTCCTAATTCATGAATATATGAATATCATGAAAGCAGGGTCAGTCTACAGATGCAGACTCTTCTATATGAGGTATATAAATCATATACAAATTTTCCAACTCAAAGGACCTTATATTTAAATCAACACATGGGTACTGCAATATTATTTCTCAGTTAGGTTAGAATCAGGCTGTGAGGATTTTCAAAAATTCAGAAATAAAAGTGAAAGTGGAATTAATTTTGTGAATTACATAGACATGTCTTACACATAACACAGCAAATATTTGCCTTTATATAAAAATGTATTGGAATCACTATTGTTGTGACATCTATGATCCTCTATTGATGATCATTGATAATTAAATTAATTTTTCCAAAATAATATTTTTTCCTCCCCAACCTTCTTTCAAGATCGAGATTTAGTACCTGTATCACTAATTAATCCATCTGTCCATCATTAGCAAGGGTTCATGCTTGAAGTAGACACACTTACCAACAGTTTAAGGTCCAATCAAGTTTTTACATCTTCTGCGTTTATTGTTTATATAAAAGCATTGGGTTTCCAAGTCTTTTAGCTTGGAATTTTTCAATCCTGAAACGAAACTACATTTTCCATTGGTGGTTACGGATCACGTGAGTGATTTCCCGGGAAATATCTAAAAGTGAAAGTAGAAAGTAGATATATTTTGGCTGACACTGGGTAAAATATGTCACAGGCTTACGTGACTATCTTTTCTTGGGGTCCCGGTAAAGTGAGAAACGGAACAGAAACGAAACAGAGCGAAACGAAACGAAACAGAGCGAAACGAAACGAAACAGAGCGAAACGAAACGAAACATGGCGAAACGAAACGAAACACAGCGAAACGAAACGAAACATGTAAATTGAGAAACGAAACACAACGAAACGAAACAAAATCTGTATTTTGAGGAACGACCTATAGAAAATCTTCCTGACGAGATATGTGCATAGCCGAAGACACCGAATATTCCATTCAACTTTGAAAAAATTACTCGTCATTTACATTGGTATCTTCGTGCATTAGTTGCAATTAGTCAACTTGTTTTGTTAAATGTGAGGCTTAGGTGCGTCAGCTATGCTACAGAGCCTGTTCTAATATCAAGGCTTCTTGTCACGTGCAACAATGAGGGAACATTGAAATTAGAATAGCTGTTACTGGGGATCGTCTGAATATCAGCCTCAAACAAAATTGGCCATTCTTACCTTTGTGACTAGGATTTTTATGTACCGCCTACGGTAGTGGGGCATAATCTTTTCTGGTCTGTGCTGCCGTCCGTCAGTCCGTCCGTCCGATACTAGGTTTATTCTGTTTGTTAAGATAGATTAAATTACAATGGAGTTGTGTTCATGTCAACTTGAATCTACACATGTTCATTATGACATGTTCTTTTTGAAATGTATGCCAAATTAGGAATTTGAACCATAATTTGCGATTCAATGAACATGAAAATTTGATATTTTAAGCGAGCCATACTGTCCTATGGATACTTAACACATGACATGAGTAAAATCTCTTTGTTCTTACTGTGCTATAATCTGGATAATGCACAGCAAATGTGTGCATTTACTACCTCAGATATACTGCACAGTTCAAAAGTACTCTTACCTTTTGGGGCGGACCCTCGATTTTGAAAGGAGTGTAATTCCATATAAAATTTTTAAAATATCACCGAGTGTACATGTAGCGAATATAAAAAAGAAGATGTGATATGATTGCCAATGAGGCAACTCTCCACAAGTGACAAAATGACATAGTAATTAACAACTATAGGTCACCGTACGGCCTTCAACAATAAGCAAAGCCCATATCGCATAGTCAGCTATAAAAGGCCCCGAAATGACGTACAAATGTAAAACAATTCAAACGAGAAAACTAACGGCCTAATTTATATACAAAAAATGAACGAAAAACAAATATGTAACACTTCAACAATTGACAACCACTGAATTACAGGCTCCTGACTTGGGACAGACACATTCATACAGAATGTGGCGGGGTTAAACATGTTAGCGGGATCCCCCCATAACCTGGGACAGTGGTGTAACAGTACAACATAAGAACGAACTATAAAAATCAGTTGAAAAAGGCTTAACTCATCAGATAGATACAAATAACATACATCTAACAAAAACACAGAGTGGACGTGGCCGGGTACTTGTATATCCCAACAACAAAAAGATTCTAAGTACTGATCTGAGAGTACTCGAAGTTACTGACAGCTAGTTCAAAGCCACTAACAAGTAATAAAAAAAATCATGCATCTAAGACTAAATTATTAATCTGTACGCATCCAACATCCAATGGATTTAGTGTACAGACGTCATAAACAGTTAGAGGAAAAACACGACCTTGTGTAATGCCAAGATACAGGTATCGACAGATTGTAGATCCATGAATGTGTATATGAATTATATAACAATAATATTTAGTTTGCTTTTAATTTACTGACAACAAAATAAATATTGATACCAATAAAACAATTTTCAATGATCTAATTACAGTGTTGAATTGGTAACCTTTTAGAATAAGTTTATTTCACGGATCGACAAGTTTACCAGGATCGTTTCTAAATTCCGGGCACGGTAAACAACATTTCCATAAAAATTAGGATGTGCTATCCCATTTGAACTTCAAAACCAAATATTTATATCTATGGAAGAATTTATTAAAGGTTTTAAGTAATTTGTGGTGACGAAATCCCTGGCTTAATAATTTACCAGTAATACATAGATTACGTTCGTTAAAATAAAAAAACGTCACAACAGACACGGGCATAGCGAACGAGTTGTGAAATTCAAACACCATAAGATGGTGCCAATGGAACATCACCATCCAAAAAGGGAAAAATAACAATCGGGAACGAAAAATCGTCCCTTTTGTCGTAAATTTCGGCAGTATATTTAGAAAATTCTTGATTTTTTAACGAAAAAATATCATCAAGATAAAGGTAAGTGTTGTTGAATTTATCAGTTAAATGCAATTTTGACGGGTCTTTACTTAGTGTGATCATAAACTATGATTCATAACAGTACAAAAACAAGTCTTCGATTAAAGGGGCGCAATTAGTGCCCATTGGAATACCTACAACCTGTCGATAAACTTTGTTGCCAAAACGTACATAAATATTATCAATGGGAAATTAACAGCTTCAATCATCTAATCCCACCCCCAGTAAGTATATCTAGCATAATTACCTTTCACATTAGAGAAGAAGGCTTTAAATGAATTGCAGCAAATATATTTGCATTCAGATTTATCAAACGACCATTTAATTAAATAAGAAAACTTTTGTTTGATAAGATTGTGTGGAGGTGTAGTGTAAAGAGTAGAAAATTCGCATTGAGATCTACCAAACGACCATTTAATTAGAGTAGAAAAGTCAAAACTGTCAACAGAATCCAAAAGACCATCAAAAACATCTAGTTTATTTAAATCATCCAATTTTTTCACTCCAAAATAGACGATTTTATGCTAAAACATGATATGTTTTCCACTCAAAGGGTGGGACATAAAATATTTTATAATATTTTGTGTACAATGTACATCTGAAATCAGTGTTTTCCAGTCAAACCAGATAATAATAATTTTTTTTGTAATTTCTGCCGAAAAAGAAATGTACTTTAGAATATCCAAATAAATAAAATCTGATTTTGATTATAGTTTCGTGCTCAATGGAATTAATTACGACTATTTAGATAAGTATGCCTTTTAAGTTTTGGGATCGAATTGAATGAGGAACATATTCAAGTTTGTATCAAAGTAGGTTTGGGGGATAAGCTACAGATCAATCGGATTTTGTTTAGAAGCGACATGTCTTTAAAATTTATACAGTAAAAAAATGGAGGGAGGGGAAGTTAAAGATTGAAAAGTGTAACATTATTTTCTGTTTACATATTAATATTTTTAATTTAGATACATCTCCACATGGGAAGGTCGACTATTCATATGTATTATATATTAATAGAAACAAGAGTCTGTGTACATCTCTCTTTGGTTCATCTTCCTAGAATTATTGAGGGAATGAAAGACAATTAATATATACACAATAACTAGTTTAGTTATGATTTTTCATGCACCGATTCTAAAGTACACTCAACGGAACTAAAACTGTATGAAATGTAGGTTACACGTCAATAAGACAGCAACCAAACGACAAGAACAAACTAAGGACATCTAGAAGGCAACATATAGTATAATTTCAACAATAGATAGGTATCTACACAACATGTCCATTTCTAATTCGTCACTATAACATATTCTAGTTTGTATTCGTTTCTTCTTTGTTTTTAAGTTTCAAAGATTTTTTATTATGGCAGTCCATGACCATGATGACATTCTTCTTCTTTCATTTTGTTGCAAATCAGGCAAGACATACCCTCGTTTAATACAAGTTCAATTCATATTAACCTTTTAAACTACTTACAACAGGTACCATCGACTTCAACTGTATGGAGATGCCGTATGTACTTCGTAGCTTATCTTTTGAAAATGTGTTAGATACTATACCTAGTAACACGCGTCTGTCAAGATAAATGGCGAATAACAAAATACAACATTCGGTACCGTAAGTTTAAAAAAGAAAGTAGAACATGACGAGTCGAACATACAATATTGTATGAATAAAAGGAGAAAGGTGACTGTGCTCCAGTACCACTGTAGATCACAAGGTCACGATTAAAAATTGCCTCGGGTCACCAGGTCACTTTTAAGCAAACTATTCAGTTCTAAACTGATTTGATTCTCGGTTTAAACATTTTAAAGGTCACATGTACTTTCAAAAGAGACGTCAGGTCGCAACGTGGTCAATCCCCCCCTTTGACGTCCCAGGTCGGACTTGACAATGTTGTAGCCACATATAGGGTGAATGCATCCAACTTGAACATTTGGATCCTACTACCTAAAGTTATGTATGGCAAAGTGTCCATACCATTTACATATTTTGGCTATGGTTATTTCACTTGGGATACGTACATGTAAGTGTTTCATTCATGAATCAAATACCTTTCTTGGCACAAACTCATAAACAATAAATGATAAAAACCTATTGCAGATTATTGCATATACAATGATATTCACAGACGTGATCGAATGAAAAGTTATACATACTAATATATCATAATATCATTAATGATAACAATGTGTGGGACTATAAAGCATAGAAAAATACAAAGCACAATAGAACTGGTATGTAATGCGTTCTTTCTAGTGCGGCAACCAGTGAAGTTAATCCCAGTGTGTAATGTGTGTTCGAGTAAACCGTTAATCACACGTTCTCTTTGGATTAAACGAGATCTTTTGTATACATTTATAAAAAAAAGCAGAGACAGATCCAGAGTTTAAGGAAAGGGGGAGGCATAATTGTCCAAAAAGATAAACATACCACCAATGTTGTTTTTTGACGATTTTTAAGCAAACGATTAGATGACATCAATCAAAAGGGCCCTCTAAACCCACATTGATCTTCGGCTATGTCAGGAAGATTTTCTATAGGTCGTTCCTCAAAATATAGATTTTGTTTCGTTTCGTTGTGTTTCGTTTCTCAATTTACATGTTTCGTTTCGTATCGT